CTCGATCCCAGGACCCTGGGATCATGACCCGAGCCGAAGGCAGACGCTTAACGACTGAGCCACCCAGGTGCCCCAACAAGGTTATTTCTAGGGGTTATTTTTGCATTCTTTGAACTGGGCTTTTGACTAGTTTCAACCTTTGTAGTCTCATTCTTCTGGTTGGTGGCTAGGACTGCAACCTCGTCACCAGCAGATGTGTCTGTATGCTATCGACCATGCCGGGGGCCTAGCACCTGGCTTATATTTCAGGCCGGCTCTCTTAGGATATGGCCCAAGCCCTTAAACTACATAAAAGGTAAATAGCTTAGTGTTTGAGAACAAGCTTTGAGTCCCTGGGTTCAAATCCTTGCTTCCTCCATTTACTGCTTGGGGGACTTTGGACATGTGACTTAATGTCTCTGAGCTTCTGCGTCCTGATCTGTAACATGGAGATAATGATGACACCCCCACGGGGTTACTCTGAGGATTCTGGGAAGTGATCAGCACAAGGCCTGGTATGTAGCAAATGCGCAGTTGATATTGGCCATCCTTCTGTGGGTGTTAGTACCATTTGTTGGTTGTGCTGTTGGGACCGGTGGTGCCGAGACAGTACACTCAAGATTCTGTGTGCTCTTTCAGACCAAGAGGAGGAGGAGGACGACGAAGGTGGAGACGTGGATATCAGTGCAGGACGTTTTGTCCGCTATCAGTTCACACCCGCCTTTCTCCGCCTCCGGACAGTCGGAGCAACGTGAGTACCAGTATTTCTGGAGGGGAGAACACTCTTTGTCCACAAAGAATGTTCTTGGTTGGGTTCTGGATTGACTTTAGAGGAGGGAGGAGGCCAAGTAGAGCTCACAGAGGTTTATTTTGCAGAGTGGAGTTCACAGTGGGAGACAAACCTGTGTCAAACTTCCGGATGATCGAGCGGCACTATTTCCGGGAACGCTTGCTGAAAAACTTTGACTTCGATTTCGGCTTCTGCATCCCCAGCAGTAGGAACACTTGTGAACATATCTATGAGTTTCCCCAGCTTTCTGAGGATGTCAGTATGTATCCCCTGACTTCTGTATCATTCTAGATTCCTAGGGCTAGAAGGAACAAACTTTGGAGTCCATCTGGTCCAACGCCCTCATCTGGCAGAGGAGGGAGGTGGTGACATGATGCCTTTGTAGGCATTTGACCTCAGGCTTCTCATTTCCTAGTGCTCCTGTCTAGGGTTTCAAACTCTGCCTGTCTGGGAGCATCGAAAGTTTTAATAATGCAGGCCATCTGCTTTAGGTGCCTGCTGCGGGAAAGGAGGTGACTGATGGAGAGGAGGGGAGGCCCATGACGATCCCCGGGCCTAGGGTTAGCTGGAGCGCCTCTCCGAGCCGCTTTGGTTTTCCATTATGTTCTGGTCATTGGCTCCTGCCCGGCACTCCTTGTTCACCCTCCCCTTTCTCCTTAGTCAGAGGGAGAAGTGAAGCTGGGGGCCAACTAGAATCAGAGATCTTTCTCATCCTCTGCTGTCATAATAGATCCACAGGAAAAAGGGAATTGTTACAGAGTTTGGAGCAGTGGGGGTGGCCAGATGGAAGCCATGTCTTAGGAAGAGTAATCCTATAGTTGTGAGGAGGGAAAACTCAGGAGGCCCCAGAGGGAGAAGCCGAGGCAGGGGAAGAGGTGGACTGATCGAGAGAAAGAACAGGCTTTATCAGTTCCTGGGACTCTGGTGGCGCTCTCTTGGGTTAGCATTCTCTGTTGGTAACCAGGGAAAATGGCTCCAGAACAATGAGAATGTGTGAGCGGGATCCTGTGAATAGTCGGGGGAGTTTGGCTGAGTTGTAGGGAAGGACCTACATACACTACATATATTTTCTCAGAATCCCAGGTCCTTAAAACTGTTAGATTCTGAAAACCAGAATATTCTCCACTCACATTGACGGTGCTGTTTCCAGGTAAAATGAGGATTGCTGACATGGGGCAGGCTGTTGATGATGGCCTCTGATCCCGCTCCCCAAGCTGGGCCAGAATAGGTAGATACTTGCAGGAAAGGATTATGTATAGTATTTCAAGTTTTTACCCAAGGCAGTAGAACTTTTCTTCTTGAAACCAAATAAGCTGAAGGAATGTGGAGGTCAATATTCTGGATATAAACCAAATAACTTTTTGGCCTGAGTGGGTTCAAAGGACTAAACAATCCGTTTCATCTTTTGAGAACTGTGGTAAACAAGTGCATTTCCTCCAGAGGAGCCAAAATAGCATGTGATCATTAACTCAAAACTGATCAGAGGTTGTGACTGTTAATTAATTATCTTGACTCTCTAGTATGGCTAAAGAGGTCTGGGCAGTTGCCTGAGCAAACAGAAGATTTAAATCTGGATCCCAAGACAAGCAGATCTTTTGCTGGATCATTGGCAACTTAATACCCTGAGCCACGCCTGTGAAAGGCTCCTCGCCCTTTGTCCTCCTGCACTCACGCACACCTAGGCTTCCTTTGGTTGTCAGGGATGTCCGTGGGGGGTGGGCACAGTGAGGCACAGCTTTTGGAATTTGGACCAGAATGTCTAGAGATGGGGAACAGACCAGAAGTACTGAATAAACAGTCTTCGGTGGTCCATGTTGGCAAAAGGGTAATCTGTTTCCCTGGGGTTCTGATTAAGGGCTGGAGATGCCCAAGTAGTGCCATGTCAGAGTTGATTGCATCCTTATGTTGAAGTGGGTATTGTGTTTAATTTGGGGGCCTCTGTGGTTCTCTCCAGCTCTCCAAGCCCGCCCCGCTCTGTTCTGACCTCACTATTCTGGCAGAGTACGCTCACACGTTCTAGAGCGCTGGCTTAGGAATTACAGAGGGGATGCTACGTTTTTTCCCACCTAGCCCAGGGGGCAGACTCACACATATGTCTTTGCTGTTTCCCTTTCTCTGACTTGCAGTTCGTCTGATGATTGAAAATCCCTATGAGACCCGTTCTGACAGCTTCTACTTTGTTGACAACAAGCTGATAATGCACAACAAGGCTGACTATGCCTATAATGGAGGCCAGTGACTGCTGCAGGAGTGGACGGGGAGGTGCTTTGCTGTGGCCCAAGGTCCTGGCACATGGAGGTGGTTGAACCTGTGTTCGTCCACACACATCTGGAGCCTGGTCCCGGGAAGCCAAGGCGGGCGTGGTAGTTTCCTGTGCTCAAGAGAGGTGCCAAGCAGTGCTGTGTTTTCTTCCCCAGTATTTTTTCTTCCCTTTTCCCTGCCCCGTAGGTCGCAGAGGTACTAGAGGATTAGGGTCAGGCTCCTGGAGTCCAGAGAAAAAAGAAAGTCTATTTTCCTGTTGTCCGAGCTGCTTGCTGGTTGTGCTGATGAGCCTGGGTCCCTGCAGGCGCAGCTGCGTCGGGGTGAGGGGGCTCTGGCCGGCCGGCTTGCAGCGGCTTCTCCGTAGCTTCCAGGGCACGGTGAGAAGCTGAAAGCCGGGCCTCTTCTAGGCGATTCCTCCTCTCACTTACAGTGTTGCTGTCGGCGTAGTGTGACCTCAGCTTGTGTGTAGTTCTAAAGCAACTGGAAAGAAAGGGGGGTGGTGGAGGGGTGCCAAGAGTGGGGGCTCCGGGGGCCGCTAGGGTTGCCAGACTGAAAGGTCCGTGTTGTGGCGAGGCCTGCTTCTCTGTCTGACTTCCAGGCTCCTCCACCAGCCCTCCTGGGGACACACCAAGGCTTCAGCCTGGCAGTGCCCTCCTGTTGCCATTTTGGAGGAAAGATGAGCTTGCTCTGCTTGTCCTCGCTCCTGACTTTTGAGTATCTCCTGAAATAGACTGTCAGTTTTGTGCTCTTGGAACAGTAGGATCTCTTGAGGCCACAGCAGGCCGTGTATTTTGTGTTGGTTTGTTTGTTTGTTTGTTTTTTTCCTTAGTCTTCTTTCGGGGAGGTTTTATAAGACGACCGTGGTGTTCCCAGCATATGTGATGTGTGGTTAGACTTCTGATAGTATTAAACAGGCGCCTGGGGCTAATCTGGCTCATGTTGAGGCCCGGGATAGTTACGGACCAGCAGCTACTTAAAGGAGGGATTTGATTTTCTCTACACAGGAGAGCCTGCAGGACTGGCTTATGATGTGGGTTTGCCTCTGAAACTCTTTGTAGATTTCTTATTTAGGAGGATTTTCCTGTCTGCCTTTCTCCTGAAATAATTTCTGGAACCATCCTGGCAAGTCAGACCTCAGTAATGCATATTCCGGTCCTTCATACTGCTAGTTGGAATGTTTTTGGGTGTTTGGAAAAGATGAATGAAGTAGGCCGAGGTGGCTCTCAAAAGGTGTTCTCAGAAAACCTTCCCTGCACATCCTCGTGGGCTGCTTTTGTCCTCAGGCCCTCCCTGGATAGCCTCAGCTCCTCCTGGTTGTCTGACTGGGGTGGCTGACCCTCTGATAAGATTGTTGCTGTGGCCAGGGTTTAGCATTGATAGGAAGGTAGCAGGAGGAAGGGCCCGGGCATGTGGGAATAGTCACTGTGAAGCATCATAGTAGCTGAAGGAGAGCAGTCTCCCAAGATGTTTGGGACAAAGGCCACACGGGGCCCAGGATAGAAGGGCCAGCACTTTGCCACAGAAGCCCCCTGTGCATTCGCTAACCAGTGTTGCTCCCTCTTTGGATTCTAGAGTGTGAGTGGCCTTGAACCTTGGCCCAGTGCTCTGTGCCAGGCCAGAGTCTGGGCTGTGCCAGATGCTGGCAGCTTTCCACTGAGAAAACCCTTACTCCTGTGTGCTGGCACTGGATCCAACCACTGAGGGAGGGAAGAGACCAGGCACCCTGCACATGGGTTACTCATCACCAGACCGGGTGAATCTCAGAACTGGAGTCGACCACAAATTCAGGTGCCTTATGTGTGGCTCTGTCCCACGTGCTACTGGGAAAAGCTGCATTGCCCTCCTTCCCTCCTCATCTGTGGACAGACGTCAGTACTGCCTCCTTGCCTGGTTTCTCCTTGTGTCTCCTCTAGCATATTCGTGTGTGCATACTGAGCTTCAGAACCACCCCTTCTCTATTGGACAGTAGCCTAATTGGGAGATTTTCTACTATTTGATATTTAATTACTATCTAGGATGTGGTTTCTGGAGCTGTCCAGAGCTCTACTCAATAGAGTGTCTTGGAAATGTGTCCCAGGACAGACCACGCAGTGTGGACTAGTGGACTGTCTTTTCTATGCAGTGTTAGCCTTTGCTAGGGGGAGCGCAGGGGAGCTAGGCATGCTGGCTTGAGTCGGGCCGTGTCCTCCTCCCCATTAGCTTGCCTTAGTCTCACTGGACCATCTCGAGGTCATATGCTCCGTCTGTGTCCAGGAGGACAGGAGGACAGAGAGGCACCATCTGCTCCAGAGGGTCTGTCTGGTGTTCTGTACCTGGGAGTCTGGATTCTTGTGTCTCATTACTCAGGAAATCTGGAGAAGCATCACCACTCTGGGGGGTTAACCGGAGTGAGTTTGGAATTCACGCTTTTGTACCTGACCTGGGGAAAGAATTGCTCTCTGAAAGTAGCCGAAGCCGTCAGAAGTTGAATCGGGAGGCCATGTTAGTAGGGAATCGGGGCTGGTGATAGCAGTTGTCTTGGGGGTGCTGCCGAGGGAGGGGAAAAGTGACCTGCAAGGGGACACCCTGCCTCCTGGTCAGAGCTGGCATCTGGGTGGCAGCTCCTGGAGGGACGCATTCCGGCAGCCTGGCAGGCCCACCCGGCGCCACGGGGCCAGATGCCTGCACCTCTTCCTCTGCTATCCTGCTCCTATCCCTCCGCCTGGGAATCTCCAGGAAGAGCATCTCGCTTTTCCTTCAGAGCCTTGGGCTATGATGCTCTTCTTGCTTCTCCAAAGAAGATCCCTGTTGATTTCATTTTGTCCTAAAGAGCAAACAGAAGAAATAACCAATAAAAGTAGTTGTGGGCTAAAGTAGGCTACCCTGTCCTTATGTGTTAGCTCAGTGATCCCTGCGGAGAAGGCAGTTTTCAGGAGCCTGCAGAACTCCCCGAAGACACATTCCAGCCTTTGGGCCACCTGATTCTCCAGCAGGGGCAGTGATGTAGGGAAGGTGGGGCTCACCGTAGACTGGTGATCCTTGAAATGGCAGTGATGGGTAATCATCGACCTATTTTTCCAGTTGAAGTGGAATTCATTTCTGGGATGGATTTAATAGGCTGTGTGTAATGGACAAATTGGGGGAGTCTTGCCTTAGTGTGTCCTGTCACCCCCAGTAGGCTCCCAGGGTACTCTTTTTTTTTTTTCCTCTGTCAAGTTACTTTCTTTTGGTGGCTCTTGTCACCACGATGGCAGTGAGGTTTGGGGACTGGAGACAGTCTGTCCCCAGACCCACGGCATAGATTCCTCGCCAGGGCCTGAGGATTCCTGACGCAGAGGTGCTGCTGTAGCTGCCGTGAGCGCCTGGTCGTCCACTTGTCGTTTCCTCACATTCCGTGTTACAGAACATCTTTGCCGTAAGAAGGGTCTGGTGGAGGCGGATTTACCCCTTGTTTTACAAAGGCTCATTGAAGTTGTGAAAGTCTATTTTTTTCCCCCTGTAAATCTATTTTTCACAGAAGATAAGAAACATCAATGACCTGATCTGTCCTTCCTCCTCTTTCCCCTTCACCTAAGATCCTCATTCCAGTTTGTATTGTCTTTGTGTCCAAAGTAAACTAGGTGACTTATTTGTACAAAATGTTATTTTGCCACAAGAGACAGTAATAAAAGATTTTCACAGTACGTGCGTCCTCTCTTGTCCCCTGACTGGGCCCTGTGGGTTGCTGGGGGGGGAGCAGGTTTGGGGTGGGGGTGGGCTCCAAGTTTCTTTAAATGACCTTTCTGTAAATAATGAGTATTGCTGGTTTTTAGGGTGATCGGGGAACAGTATTGGGCTCTAGGTTTAATATTTTTGCTTTGTTTTGCTGGGGGGCTTTGTGAATTAAAAACGTACGTAGTATTTATTTTTCTTTAAAGATTTTATCCATTTATTTGACAGAGAGAGACACAGCTTGAGAGGGAACACAAGCAGGGGGAGTGGGAGAGGGAGAAGCAGGCCCCCTGCTGAGCAGGGAGCCGATGCAGGGCTCGATCCCAGGACCCCGGGATCATGACCTGAGCCGAAGGCAGACGCTTAACCAACTGAGCCACCCAGGCGCCCCTGTATGTAGTATTTTAATGTTAGGGTTATTGAGGTATGCATTAACTGCGGTAGAATTCACCTGGTTTAAGATACAGCTGGACGAGCACGCAGCCATATCACGCCATCACAATCATGATACAGCGCTGTTGTATCACCCCCCAAAGTTCCCTCAAAGGCCAGTTCCCTTGAAACCATTGTCTGGTTTCTGTGTTTACTGGGAAATTGGCATACTTCTAATATTAAACTAACATTGTTGTTTAAGGTAACAAACAATACAATTTTTTTTTTTAAAGATTTATTTATTTATTTGAGAGAGCGAGAATGAGAGAGAGAGAGTACATGAGAGGGGAGAGGGTTAGAGGGAGAAGCAGGCTCCTCGCCGAGCAGGGAGCCCGATGCGGGACTCGATCCAGGGACTCCAGGATCATGACCTGAGCTGAAGGCAGTCGCTCAACCAACTGAGCCACCCAGGCGCCCCACAAACAATACAATTTTGAAGTAAGTCTGGTTTGGATGGTCTGTGGCAGCCGAAGCAGTCATTGGCCCGTGTCCACTCACTGATTTCCCCCTCTCCTGCTTTTTCCTTTCTTTCACCCAGGACTGGCACCAGGAGGGGCAGTGGAAAGGTAAGGAAGGCCTCAGAGCATTAGCCAACCACAGTCATTGGTTCGGGTCTAAAGTACTGTGGATTTAGAGGCTTTCTTTTAAATGAGAGGTAACATATTAAGGACTTTGCTACATCTTTTCATTGATCTTGGGGAGGGAGAGCAAGGTCTTGGCGGAAGACAAATTTTGGCATGTGTGTCAGTGGTGGAGACAGGTGCCTGGCTGAGTTACAGAGGCGTAAAGATGGATAGAGGGATGTGTGGGTGCCCGGGAGGGTGTGGAAGTCTGACTCATGCTTGTGCTGAGGGAAGACCCTTGTCAGGGCACTGGAGTCGCCAGTTTCCTGGGGAGGGTCAAGGTGTCTTGATGAGGATGCCAAATGCATGGCATTGGGGGCAGTGCTCGCTGCTCCCAAATGGGCTCTGCCCCACGACTGGGGGTGAAACAGATGGGACTACAGTGGAATAAGGGGGTGACAGCTCCACCCCACCTGCACAACTTCTGGAGGAGAGAGATCCCCCTCCCACGCAGCCCAATTCGCTGGGGCTACATATCGAGCATCAGGGCAAGACAAGATCCTTGTGCCTCTCGGAGCTCACAGACTAGAGGGAGGAGTCGAGAAGATGTCAGACGCTGAGTGCCAGGAAAAAAATAAAACAAACGCTGGGGTGGAGAATGTGTGGTCAGAGTGAGACCTGGATGGAGGGAAGGAGCCTTCCAGGTAGAGGAACAGGGATTGCGAAGTCGCGGAGGCAGGAACAAGCCGGAGTGTTGGAGCTGCCTTGAGCGGCTGGAGCAAAGACAGCGAGGGCACGGTGGGCACGGGGCGTGAGAGGTAGGCGCAGGTTGGTCATATGGAGCATTTAAGGCCGCGGAATTGGATTTTAGGAGAGATGGGCCACCGTCCGAGGGTTTGGAGAAAGGATGAGGGCGGACCGCGGAGACCTCGCAAACGCCGGAGAGCGCTTTGAGCGCTCCGGGGAGGGAGGCGGGGCCGGGACCTGCCCCCGGGGCTAGGGGGCGTGTCGGCCCGCCCTGGCCCCGCCCC